TGAGGTTTCATTTGGAGCACTGTCTTTGTAAATTAATGCATCACATCATACTTAATAGTTTTGGTGTGTTTTTCAGTGAAAGCAATCGAAAATATTTACTAACGTGTAATGCAAATGTCTTCCTAACTCAAAATTCCAACTATATAAAAACACTTACAACTGTTTTAGAATTTTAAACTGGGCTTATTTTAGGCAAATTACATTAATAATACTAATAAAGTTTTTTCATATAAATAGCAAAAAAATAAAATATTACCTGAACATTAAAACCCACACTCTGAACTTAAAAAATATAAATAGCAAAAAACAATTATTTATTACCCGAACATGAAAACCTACTCTAAACTTTAAAAAAAAAATTGAGAAAAGGCTAAATATATTTATTTTTTACAGAATGATATTTTGTAATTTTCACCTTTATGTTATTTTTTGGATTTAAAATTATTTTACTAATATTTGAAAGTAATCCTCTTTATCTTATTATATAGGGATATACATCTGATAAATTTGTTCATTAACAAACATTGTATGCTGTAACTAAATTATCAGTTTTATTCCAAAATTGTTTATTCCACCAATTCTCTAAGAAAATAATTATCTGTTATTTTAAAATAAAATAGAATGAACATTTTATTGATTCTACCAAATTATATATTTTTTTAATTATTTTGATGAATATTGAATAGGATGTATATATTCCTTTACCATTCACGGGCTAAACAAAATCATAAAATTTATAATGAAAATTTGGAAGAAAAGAAAACCAAATATCAATATTATTAATTCAGAATCATTGTTAATATTTACCCCTATTACTATGTGGCATATTACTCTTTTTGCCACTTGACCTACATAAAAAATATAAAGCAAATCAAGCAAATTGTATTGCCCTAAATACCTTCTATTAGGGGTGTTAGTGGGAATATGGTTTATAATGATTTTTAGAATTTTCAAATCTTGTGCTATTTGTTTATAGATTCTCATATTCTTATTAAAATCTAGTGTGATTGGTTTGATGATTCTTTAATTCTATACAAAATCTTTTGTTATTCAAAAAGTTTAGATTTTAATGATTCTACAAATCTATTAAAGTAAGTGTTATTGGGAGTTGAATTCTTAACATTTTAACTCATTAAACATGATTTTAAGAATACTACATGTTTCCCTTGAATTCTTAAAATCCTTACATTACTTTATTTTCATAGATTTTCACAATATACAAAATTCTGATTTCTGATTGATTGTGGTGCCACTCACAACTTTGTTTCGCTATCACTCGTACGAAGGTTGGGATTGATTACGGAGGAAGCAACGGATTTGGGGTGTTGACAGGAGGTAACATTACGGTCCAAGGAAGTGGGTGTGTAAGAACTTGTTATTGTCACCACAGGGTTGCTTCATTAGTTCCAGTTTCCTTCCGGTGGAGTTGGGGAATGCGGATGTGATACTTAAGATGCAGTGGTTAGCAACTCTGGGTAACATGAGAGTTAACTGGAAGTTGCAGACGTTGAGATTCAAGTTATGGGGAAAGAAATACTTACTCCAGATAACTTACGCCATTTGAACTATCCAACGCGCCAGCCACCTTTCAGTCACTCATGAACGAGAGGTATTTCGTGAGTACTTACGCAAGTTCTTCCTTGTCTTCTTTGACGACATCCTTGTGATTAGTAAGAGGGCTCAAGTTTTGAGATATTTGTCAAGAATATTACAATGACTATGTATGTGAACTCATTACCTCTGGACAGAAAACCACGTCTTCACTCATAAACGTCTAAATTATACAATGTTATTGTTATACGATTTCGAGCTCATTATCATAAATATTATCAATGATAAATAGTATATGGTTAATATATATTATACCATGTGCACCTTAACCAATTTAATTTTTTTTTAAAAAATATTTTATTTTCAATATATAACAATTTCGCTTTAATTATTGATTACTTTATTTTTAATTATTATTATTTTTGGTTTATTGTAGAAAGATCTTTTATAGAAATTTTTATCAATTTGTAACAAAGAAAAGTCGAGTTATAGTTACGTTAATAATTGCATTCATTTATTGCTATTGTATCAACACATTAGATAACGTCACCGAAACTGCTATCTTAGAAGGGGTATCTATGATGGCTGCCGATTACATGGCAGATGGTAAAACGCTATGAAAGACCTACTATAGCGTTAATCATGAGCTAAGAATGTTAATATTTCTTGTAGTGTAGAAAGAAGTGAATGCTTAAGATGATAGACATCTTAATTGTTATCAGCTATTATGAATGATGAATGTAAAGTAAGAACCATTTGTATCTAAAGTGAAAGATAGATGAATATGAATGAGATGTCGTTTGGCTTCAGTATTTGAGAATGTGAATGTTATGCCTATTGTGTGGGACAACGATAACGGGTGGCGTCTAAAGTTGAGTATGAGTCTAAGGGTGTGCGAATGAGTTAAAGTGAATTGAGAACGAGGATGAGAATGAGTTTAAGTGATAAGAATGGGAATGATAATGAGTATGAGAACGAGAATGAGAATGATGATGAGAATGAGAATGAGAAAGTGAATGAGAACATGAATGAGAATGTGGTCGTGTCAATGAACTTGTTTGAAGTCATGTTTGGACCACCATGAACGGGTGGGCGTCTAGAATCTAGGATGTGTAACCTGCGGGACAGTAGCCTAACAAGAGGTACCCGCAAGGGCCCACGGGACAGTAGCCTAACACAAGGTACCCGTGGGCGAGACCTCTGGGAGGGACCTGCGGGATAAAATAAGTATAAGCACCTTAGGATCGAGTCAATACTGTGTCGTGGTATAATTATGGCTATTAATACCGGGGTGATAAACAGAGCTGGTAAATATAATATAAATCCTGTGTCGTGACTGGATCTGATTCATCCCATTCAGGTTCTCATTCCTCCTTGTGTCTTTGCAGAATAGAGGTTTGATGAGAGATGAAGGCAGCTAAAAGGTGGAGCGTAGGAAACCTAGTGTCATTACCTGGAGCTCGCCACCGTGTTCCTGCAAGAAGACGACTATGGATCATCATGGCGCTTTCACTGATCATCATGACGCTTTCACTGATCACAATGTTGGCTATAATGGCTTACATGTACCCTCATAACAGCAAACGTGCTTGTTATATGGTTTCTTCAAGGGGATGCAAGGCTTTATCTGACTGGCTTCAACCTCTTCCAAGGGAGTATTCAGATGATGAGATTGCTGCAAGAGTAGTGATTAGAGAAATAATGAGTAATGTTCCTGTTATAAGAAGGGATTCCAAGATAGCATTCATGTTCTTGACGCCTGGTCCATTGCCTTTTGAGAGGCTTTGGGAAAGATTTTTCCAGGTACATTTTTGTTCTAAAAAACAAATTTATTCTTCA